GGTTGCTTCAAGTTCCCACAAATCAGCAACCGACGCTTCAACACATGACGTTCCACAATCTACTGCTATGGAGGACATGCGGCAGCAGATCAACCGCCTGGCGTTGCAAGTGAACGCACTCGTAACAGGGGCTGAGTCCAGATCACGACATGAGTCAAGATCCCCCTCAAGACGACGATCTTCAAATCCACCATCACGAGCTGGTTCCCCTCCGCCAGGAATCTGCTGGTACCACTGGAAATTTGGCAGCAAGGCCCAAAAATGTCGCGCGCCATGCAGGGCGTCGGAAAACTGCCCAGCGCCCCGCTAGAGGCGGCCAGTCGGAGCGCTCGCCATCCCACCCGCCTCTTTTTCGTAACCGACCAAAACTCCAAGCTACGCTTTCTCGTTGATACGGGCGCCGAGGTGAGCATCTTTCCCGTACCGCCAAGCATCCATCCGAGTAAGAGACAGCCGTGTACATTGCAGGCTGCCAACAAGACACCAATTGCAACTTATGGAGAACGTTCCCTCACCCTCGACATAGGGCTCCGCAGAACGTTTCGCTGGGTATTCCTCATCGCTGCGGTTTCCTACCCCATACTTGGAGCTGATTTCCCCCGTCATTACCACCCCCTTGTAGACATGCTTCGTCTTCGCCTGGTAGACGACACCACTCGTTTGACTGTACAGGGAGTAAGAATGACGTCGCCTCTTCCTCCCCCGTCCATTCCTCATCACTCTCCGACACCTTACGATAGACTTCTTAATGAATACAAGAGTCTGACGTGTCCTAATAATTTTTCGAAACCGGTACCACACGATGTGACGCATCATATTGTTACCACGGGTGCTCCCACCTATTCTCGACCACGAAGGCTGGCTCCAGAACGTCTCAAGATTGCCAGGGCCGAATTCGAGCATATGCTTGAATTGGGCATCATCCGTCCATCCTCGAGTCCATGGGCCTCGCCCCTCCATATGGTGCCTAAGAAAGAACCTGGAGACTGGCGCCCTTGCGGAGACTATCGCGCCCTTAACAACGCCACTCTTCCGGACAGATATCCAATACCACATATTCACGACTTTTCGCTCTCTCTTCGCGGCTCCACTATTTTTTCGAAAATAGATCTCGTCAAGGCCTACCATCAGATACCTGTGGAGCCGGCAGACGTTCCCAAGACGGCCGTTACAACACCTTTCGGCCTTTTCGAGTTTCTCCGGATGCCGTTCGGACTCAGAAATGCAGCCCAAACCTTTCAGCGGTTCATTGACACCGTCCTTCGAGGCTTGCCTTTCTGCTTCGCATACGTCGACGATCTACTAGTTTTCAGCCAGGATGAGACCCAACACGTCCAACACCTGCGGCAGCTGTTCCAGCGCCTCGCCGAATATGGAGTCAATATTAACCGAGGAAAATGCAAGCTGGCAGCAACAACACTCGAATTTCTGGGCCACGAAGTTAACCAACATGGCATACGACCTCTCACACAAAAGGTGGAAGCTATCAACAATTTCCCAATACCTAAAACCATTCGCCAACTCCGGGAATTCCTTGGGCTTGTCAACTTTTATAGAAGATTTGTTCCCCAGTGCGCCGCAGTCCTGTCACCGCTGACCACACTCCTAAAAGGGAGCAAGCCCCCGTCAACCCCCTTAGAATGGACTTCGACTGCAGAGCAGACTTTCAGCCGAATTAAGGGAGAACTGGCAAACGCTACACTTCTTTCACATCCTCAACACGACACAAAAACGAACATTATGGTCGACGCCTCTGAAGTTGCAGTAGGTGCCGTTCTACAGCAGTTGATAGAGGGAATCTGGAAGCCTATTGCTTTCTTTTCGAGAACGCTCACATCAGCGGAACAACGCTACAGCACCTTCGGGCGCGAGCTGCTGGCGATCTACACTGCTATAAGGCATTTTCGAAATTTTCTACAAGGCACGCAGTTCTATGTACTTACGGACCACAAACCTCTCACATACGCCTTGCAAGGTGGCAGGGACACATATTCACCTCGCGAAACAAGGCACTTGGCTTACATCGCCGAGTTTACAACCAACATCCGTCACGTGAAAGGCGTCGATAATCCTGTAGCCGACGCGTTGTCCCGGTGTGCTTCGTTTTCTGGCGGACTGAGCTTTCCGCCCGCTGTCGATTTTGATGTCATTAGCTCAGCGCAACAACGGGACAAGGAGCTTCAACAGATGCGTCAATTCCCTGGTCGACTCATATTCGATGAGATTATCTTACCTACGTCTACCAAGAAAATAGTCTGCGACCTGTCAACAGGCACAGCACGACCCTTCATACCCACCGACTTCCGGAGACAAGTCTTTGACTCCATGCACGGCCTTTCCCACCCTGGCATTCGGGCTACACAAAAAATTATAACTGAGCGATTTCTCTGGCCCAGAATCAACACAGACGTACGCGGCTGGACCAGAACCTGCATCGAATGCCAGAAGTCGAAGGTCCAGCGTCATACTTACGCGCCACTTCAGTCATTCCCAACTACCACAGAACGTTTCGACCACGTCCACATCGACATTGTGGGACCCCTCCCACCATGTGAGGGGTTCCGCTACCTCCTTACCTGCGTCGACAGGTTTACCCGTTGGCCGGAGGCACTTCCAATCCAAGACATCCGAGCGGACACCGTGGCTCGCACCTTCATCCAGGGCTGGATTTCCCGATTCGGCGTCCCATCCACTATCACAACCGACCGGGGACGTCAGTTTGAGTCTGCACTTTTCCACCAACTACTCTCACTTTTAGGAACAAGCCGCATTCGAACAACAGCTTACCACCCAATGGCAAACGGCCTCGTCGAACGCTTCCATCGTTCACTTAAAGCGGCCCTAATGGCGCAACCTGAACCAAACAGATGGCATACAAGCTTGCCCATCGTACTTCTCGGATTACGAGCAGCTTGAAGAAGGACCTTGGCTACAGCCCAGCCGAGCTGGTATATGGTTCAACTCTTCGCCTACCAGGCGAATTTTTTGCATCCGCCTTACAACAACCAGCTCCCGATCCCATGACATACACAAACCAGCTTCGAACGATAATGAAAAACCTCCGGCCCACGCTCCCACGCACACAAGATCGAACTGCAGTTTACGTCTCGAACGACCTCGACAACTGCAGTCACATATTTCTGCGAAGAGACGGAACCAAGAGGTCCCTGCAACCACCGTACCCTGGGCCTCACAAAGTACTTTCCAGGGCAGCTAAAACTTTTACCATCGACTACAATGGACGGCAAGAAACCGTTTCTGTTGACCGTCTGAAGCCAGCTCACCTAGAATTTCTTCCTAATGCAAACGACGCTGCCCATCCTCATATCCTCACCGCTCGCCCAACCACTGACCCCTGCTGCCTCCCTTCAAGTCAATTCCCCCGAAGTCATTCGATGCGAACTAATATACTGCCCTACAACTTCAACCGCCACGAGCCCTGCGCGCCATTTCAAGTCAACCGATATGGCTCCAGACACTTAGGAGCCAAAACGTCTGCGCCTGCCCTCGCTCGCGCCACGAGCGTGATACAGCGCAAACGAAAAGGACCTCGACAAGTTTCGTGGTGTTTAGCACCTACTCACATATGGGACTAGCACAAATAAATGTCTATCTTCTTCTGTTGCGGCGCAGCGAAGGGAGGGGAAGGTGAGTATTTGTGGGCATTGGCATACATTGACCGCCCACAGATGAAAAAGAAGAAAGGGAGAAGGAAGGAGCTCGGGACACGAGAGATCAACGGGCTCTCAAGCCGCGCGCTCGACCGTTCCGGCAAGCAGTGAACATCACCGACCCGTTTATCCTTGTAAATAATGTACATAAATATGTAGTGCCAAGACTTTGGTTCCTACAGAGGGAAGCTTTCCTTATACTGTTGTCCAGTATGTGTTCAACGGCTAGTAGGATTCTATAAAGCTCTGCGGTAAGAATGATTGCTGCACTCTAAAGTTTTAGAGCTTTCGTGAATGATGTGCAGCCAACAAAAGACCATGATTTCGACCCATCAGAGTAGAATTATGCGTAGCCCATGCCTCCATCAACGAAAGAAACTCCTGCTGTAGAACTTACACCGAGACAACTCGCTTACTATATTTTTGTAAGTCACCAGTCACAAATGGCTAGAACTTCGTCTCAAGGAGCAACTCTCTCCCTCTGATTTAGCACGGCAATACCACAAAGGGGGACAGAGAGGGACTCACTAAAATTGTGGATACGAAAGTTGAGTGGCCGTACACTATTCAACTTCTTTTCAAAATGTCGAGAAAATCTACAGGTATAAACGACATTGTAGGCTTGGTGTTGTGGATTGGAATAGACCCTGAAAGCATAACAAACACTCAGACACTGTTTGCATTTCTCCAGCGACGTCCGATTTATGAGAAAAGAGTCAAAGTACAGGCTAGCTGGTGGAAGTCAACCATTTCGTCGTTTACCCTGAGACTGGGGGTTTTTTTGAAGAGCAGAAGAAACAGAAAAAACAGACAGGTCTCAAACTCAGCTACACGTTTATTTCAAAAACTTCCTCTTATATAGTTCGTTTTCGTCGTCAACAACCAATCACATACGACTTGTCCTTTGCACCGTGACTTTACAGGTTCCACTATATCACAAAAGAAGCGGACACTCCCAACGTTTCCAAGTGAAAAGGTTCTAGCAGAAGATATGCCCCACAAAGCACCAAGCAACTCTTTTGTGTCCTCACAATAAACAGGACAACAGCCAACAACAACATCCCACTCAAAACTGGTCACCTCCAAAATTGTAGAAAACAGACAATACACACCGGTACACACCACAGACAATACACACCAACGAAGCCTTTCAGAATAACTAACTAAAAAAAAAAAAAAAAGCACTTAAAATTGTAAAAATTGCTTGCATCGGTTCCCTATTTGCATGGAAGGTTGACTAATGCAATTTCCCAACGATCTAATCCTAATTGTTTCTCTTACCACCCTTTTAACATCGTTCCTTTCCTTAACAACTACATCCGTTCCAGACCAATCCGTTGTGCAGTTTCTACACTCCTCCAGATGCTTAGCCAACTCCGAATTTGCTGCATTATTTTTAACATTCCTTTTGTGTTCTGTTAAACGATCGTTTAAACACCGAGAGGTTTGGCCTACATACTTAAAACCACACGCCAAAGGAACCTCATACACCACGCCTACGCTACACGGCACCGACTTTTCCCTATGCGCCTTCTGACAGCCCCTCTGAGCCGTTTCAAAAGGTGTCAATCTATCTAACCTAAAATCCGTGCTGAATACGACATCCACGCCATATTTTTTTGCACATGCTCTAAGATTGTGGGACACCTCGTGAAAATACGGAACCACAGCGTACCTATTCCTGATTTCTTGCGTCTTCCCCTTTTTCTCCCTGCACTGTAGGGCAATCTGCCTTTTGATGTACTCTTCCCCATATCCTGCCATTACCAGTCTTTCCCACTGGTTTTTTAGTGCCTCCGGTCCGAAATGCATGCATGATCTCACCAAAGCATTACTAATCAAAGATCTGACTACCCCGGCTTTTACATTTTTCGAGTGACAGCTATTCTTTGACAGAACCGGTTTTGGGTTTTCCTTCCCATACTCCCAACAAAGACCTCGTTCCAAATGCAAACGCAGGTCGAGAAATTGCAGGACCTCGCCCCTTGGCCTCTCTAACGTGAATCTCAACTCTGGCGCCGCTGACCTTACTACTTGTTCTAAAACTTGGTCCAATCCTTCCTGAACAGAGCAAACTAAGATATCATCCACAAATCTTTTCACAAAACACTTTGGAGACAACTCCTCTACCTTGTCATACACTTGCTGGTCCACCGTGTTTAAGTAAATTTCCGCTAACAAAGGCGCTACAGACGAACCTATACAAACTCCCTCTTTTTGCACAAAATTGCGACCTTCGTATTCCAATACCGTTGACTGTAAATAAAGGTCTAGCACCGAAAGAAAACTATCCACCGCTATTCCTGTTCCTGATTGAAACTTAATAAGGTTCCCTTCCAAGGCGATCCTCACTCTATTCATTAGTCTGCTTTTCTCTAAAGAGTAATATAGGTCCTTGATGTCCATGGAGAATACCGCGCACTTCCTTCCGTGAAACTTTTCCATTACCTCAATCAACTCACTAGAGTTCTTTAAGGCAATTGACTTCTCCAAATTAGCTAACTTCAAACCCCGCTGTAAGAAGCATGAGACGACCTTCTGCCACGTCCCATTCTCGTTAACAACGGTACGAAGGGGCATTTCAATCTTGTGATCCTTCAAAAAGAACTTAAGGGTGAGCGTTGAACGCAACGGTTTCAAAACGCTTTTCGCTACCTCTTCCATGCTTTCCTCCTGAAAAACCTTGCAAATGCTTTTCCTCAGCTTCCCGATATTGCCCTTCCATTCATTAAACAATGATCCCAACGCTTCCTCCGACTTCTTCTGAAAGGCCTGTACAGGCAAAACTGCAAACCTTCCTGTTTTATCTGTCTGCAACAGTTTTAACGAACTCCTTTCTAACTCTTGTTTCACCGCTCTCACATCCTTGAAATTCCTCCTATCGATGGGATACGCGTTTCCCATTAATTTTTCCATGCGCCCTACAGCATCTTCGACAAACGCAAACTTCTCCTCACTATCCACAACCCTGGCGATTGACTGTATGTCAGAAAACACGTCGAGTCTAGACGGCTTAACGTTTACACAGTACTTCGGACCTCTACCCAAGAACTCCTCCAATTTCTTTGACACCACTACATTTTCCGGGTTAATTATACAATGCTGTTGTTTACAATTTCCCGTCCCCTGTACACACTTATTTACCTCTGCTCCGCGAGAGTTCCACAACTTGAAACTGTCCAAAACATGCCTCCTTTTGACATACCACGCACGGTCGAAATGTGTCCTCATGACGGCGCTCCAAAGATGGTAGTCTCCATGCCTCCTGAAGTTCTTTCCGAGAAGAAGATTCCAGATTCTGTTTGAAACGGCTCAGAGGGGCTGTCAGAAGGCGCATAGGGAAAAGTCGGTGCCGTGTAGCGTAGGCGTGGTGTATGAGGTTCCTTTGGCGTGTGGTTTTAAGTATGTAGGCCAAACCTCTCGGTGTTTAAACGATCGTTTAACAGAACACAAAAGGAATGTTAAAAATAATGCAGCAAATTCGGAGTTGGCTAAGCATCTGGAGGAGTGTAGAAACTGCACAACGGATTGGTCTGGAACGGATGTAGTTGTTAAGGAAAGGAACGATGTTAAAAGGGTGGTAAGAGAAACAATTAGGATTAGATCGTTGGGAAATTGCATTAGTCAACCTTCCATGCAAATAGGGAACCGATGCAAGCAATTTTTACAATTTTAAGTGCTTTTTTTTTTTTTTTTTAGTTAGTTATTCTGAAAGGCTTCGTTGGTGTGTATTGTCTGTGGTGTGTACCGGTGTGTATTGTCTGTTTTCTACAATTTTGGAGGTGACCAGTTTTGAGTGGGATGTTGTTGTTGGCTGTTGTCCTGTTTATTGTGAGGACACAAAAGAGTTGCTTGGTGCTTTGTGGGGCATATCTTCTGCTAGAACCTTTTCACTTGGAAACGTTGGGAGTGTCCGCTTCTTTTGTGATATAGTGGAACCTGTAAAGTCACGGTGCAAAGGACAAGTCGTATGTGATTGGTTGTTGACGACGAAAACGAACTATATAAGAGGAAGTTTTTGAAATAAACGTGTAGCTGAGTTTGAGACCTGTCTGTTTTTTCTGTTTCTTCTGCTCTTCAAAAAACCCCCCAGTCTCAGGGTAAACGACGAAATGGTCCGATTTATATCGGCGTTTAAACTCAGCACAGATGTTGGAAATGCACCTGAGACAAGACGGAGCCCAAAATGATGCACTAAATCTAGTATCTTCAAAATAGATGTCCGCGCTGAATCATACATGATTGCAGCATAGTCAAGGCGAAACCGAAGCAACCGAACGTTTGATTTGCGTTTTAACTACTTTGAATGGGGCACAAAACTGAGCTAGTTGTCGAAGATTACCCCAATAAATTTGTGTTCCTGTTGAACGGATATGCCAATGTTATTTAGAAACAAAGATGAGTCCAAAGGCAATCTCCGGTGCAAGAAAAATTGACCACGGGAGGGAGGAAAAAAACTTAAAACCATTTTCATCTGACCATTTGCTCATCCTGCGGATAGTAAGTTGTAGTTACAGTTCACAACTGGATAGGTTACATGAAGAGAAAGAGATCTGCACGCCATCTACATAGACTATACCGATGGTGGTATCACATTTGCCAAAGTTAATTTTCACAGAAAATAGAGTAACACTTAGGATTCCTTGAGGTATCCTCCTTGCTTGCGCGAAGACATCAAACAGTGTGGATCCTAAGTGGAGCTCGAAGGTACACCCACTTAGGAAGTTCCGTATACATTGAAACATGCGGCCACGCACACCGGAGTTGTACAGGTTCCAAAGTATTCCAGACCTCCACGTGGTGTCGCAGACATTTTTTAAATAATAAAAAAATACCGAAACACAATGCGGCCGGTGTTAATATTGAAAACGTTCTCAGCTTCCAAAAAATAAGCCAAACCCCAAGTGATGAGCCCTTTATCTTGTCCCAAGACAACTAGTGAGTGCAATAGGATGGTAACCTGTGGAGACAAAAAGCTTACCATGTTTCAAGAGAGGTATAGAGCGATCCAGGCAACCACCGGCAGATCGAACGTCTACAAAATTAATTCTGTCATCGCAGGCGTTACGGATTATCAGCAATATTGGCGACGGTGCGCCTCAGCCGTCCCCCAGGGATTATAACTCGGCAATAATATTAGGCAATTACTTACATAACAAAAACGCGCGGTTCGGCTAATTGATAATTTGCCCCGGTTTCAATCGACTTCCTATAGTTTTAATAAACATAAAATATTTAAGGTAAATAACCTTTTTTGATTAAAGGTGGCGTTTCGATTCGCACATAAATTAACACTGATCCTGACATCTTTCACGAGACGTTCCTACCCAAGCAAACAAATTACAATCTAAGGTACCAGCAGTTTTCAAAACAAAATATTATAACTAATATGGCGCTCAAAATTATCCTACAAGATTACAGATGTCCTAAACAAACATTATTGCGGTGGACAAGGAAATCACTGCCATGTTTCATTTGAAAAAAATACCTAAGGGAATATTTTAATGTTGCCAGTGTTTATATCTAGTGAATTGTGTTATTAACTAGTGTGATTTTTTTATCTTACTTGTAAGCTGAAGAGTCTTTAGCAGGGTGAAATAATTTCTGTGATGACTTGTGCTGTGAGCTGGCTTTTTCTTTTCTTTTTCTTTCTCGATTTGTGCCCTGCTGTTGAGTGTTGTTACAGGGGTTGGGACCTGGTCAGGTGATTTTATTCACCTTTTGTCCCAACCCCCTTGACAATTGTGTCCAAAATAAAACAAACAAACAAGTTAAGAGCGGACTGCCCGATTAGTGCCGCATCATCGCTCACCGGAAACGCAGACTTCAAGTCTACCCCTGAAACCAACTTGGACGCATCCAATGTCCTGCCAACATCTATAAAACAGCAACCATGCCGGTCGAAGCTTCACTTCTAGAGCGGTCCAGGCAACCACCGTCACATCGCATTTCTACGAAATCCATTCTGTCATTACAGGTATGTCACAGTCGCATATAATGAATGATATAGCCTCTTCGTGGTACCTGGATCGCTCTAGCACTGTCCTTTTGTCTTTTATGAACTTGTTTTAATGGGTGACAAACAGTGTGGGTTTTCCCTTTGTGGGTATCACGTAGAAACACAGGAGGTTCCTTCTGTCCGGATAAAGACGTGTTTGTTGACGATAACGCCACACGTTTGCCCTGAGGGCCAACATTGTCGGAGATGACGGCGCTGTCTCTTTTGACAGGATCGCCAGTCGGAGTCTGCGCTGCCGGTATTGACAGTAGCATGGAGGGGGAGGATCAGAAAAAGAAAGGAAGGCTCCGTCGAGCAGAGCCTCCCCAGCGAAAGTTCCTCCCGTTGGATTTGGGCCGTCTTATATACTGTATTAAAACTGCGAGTTCGGCTAGGTGCCACTTATGCATGGTGGTAAATACGCCTAAAATACGGACAAAAAAAAAAGAAGCACACAGGTCGCCTCGTCCTGTGTGCTTCTTTCTTTGTCCGTGATTTAAGGCGTATTTACCACCATGCGTCTTATATAGCCTGCTGGAATGGACGTGGCCGAGGTGGGTTGGATGTAGGTTGGCTCCCTGGAGGGGCGGACGCGTCCAAGTCATGATCCCGAGGGGTGTGCCTTCGGCAAATTACCCGAGAGAAGCGAGGGAGAGCCGTCCCAGGTAAAAATTCAAAGTGGTTGTACAACTGGTCCCACTTTAATTCAAGTGTCCCACTTAACTTGCAAGTGGTTCCACTTCACTTGTAAGTGGTACCACTTTAATTCAAAATGGTACCACCTGGTTTCATATCGACCACTTGTGCACCACCACTTTAATTCAAAGTGTACCACTTGGGTTCACATTGCCACACCACTTTAGCCATGTGGTCCCACTTGGAGCCCAAAGTGGTCGGGCTTAGACCACTTTGACTTCAGAGTACCAGTTTAAAGGAAAACTGAAGCGGTTCTATATTTGAGCAAGAACACTTAAATCGTCTTAACTTGGCCTTCAGGAACACGAATATCTAGATTATTTTTCAATTTGGCTGACAGAGGCTGCACAAAATCATTTTCAAAGTACCGCTGATCGATGCCCCTCGTCCCTGGAGCCTGACATTGTATACCAAGAGTTTTTGGAATCTCCGCTCTCGCACATCTTCAGCGCCTATCAAAGCTGTGCACGCGCACTCTTGCCATTTTCAAAAAAAGTAATCATGACTGATGTCAGTGTGGGGGAATTTGCCTGGTAAGCTCGCAATTGCATGCGTTGCTCACACGAGCGACACACTTTTGGTGGTCGAAAGATCCTAGCATGATGTAACGACTGGTTGGAGGTTTTTTGTGTTTAGTTACATCTTCAGGAAAACAAACATGATATTCAGATTCACAGGATGAAAATATGCCAGAATTTATCTCTAAATCATTTTTTAAAGAACCTCTTCAGCATCCCTTTAACTGGTTAACGATGAAATACCATTTTGATATTTGGGTGTCCATTGGCAAATCCAAACTTTCTTGACCTTGTGGTGACATCACTCATAGTAACTTTGGATCCTGTGGAAATTTGTATATTTTGGTAGTGCACACTTTACGACTTAGGTATATCTTTGGTATAAAACTGACTTGAATAAGACACAAATGATTGCTGGAAGTATTATATCACCAATCTTCTACCACATCTAGGTGGGACTTTTTGCCATTACTTAGCTTGGAGACACCAGATCACTTCATTTGACTGTGAAAATCAACATGCTTTGTGAAAAGCATATTAATGAGATCGACAATTCAGTATATGACAACCACCGATTCATTTATTTACAATTATTTCAGCAAAAATTTTGCAAAAGTAGGTACAGGAAAGAAAATACTACTACCTGAACATCTAAGAAAGTTAAAAATAAACATGCGTAGCACACACAAATTCCACAGCAAAGCAACCTGCCGCTTTTAGCAAGACATAAATGGCAATAAAATCTACCAAGACCTGATGACAACACACAAAAGCACAACTGTGGCACCAAGTAAAAGGGGCGGAAACACAATAACAATAACATGCAAATAACTCTAGTTCCACATTCGCAGGTCCCAAAACATTCACTTAATTGTCCTTGTAGTTCTCTAAGGGGAGACCCGAAAAATTTTGAAACATATAATTTTTATTAATTTGGGTTAAATAGTGAAATCAATAATGGCGATAGACCAATGGTGGCTAAACTGCGGCTCGCGAGCTCCTTGAGACTCTTCGCGGGTCCAAGTGCGGCTTGCAGTTCCCTGGTAAGCGTGCTCCCCTTCCCTTCCCGTTTCCCCC